AGTTTGGGGAATGCCTCAGATGATCAGTGATTGTGAGCATCTTTTAATCAATCTGCTGTTTGGTTTCATTCTCTGTAAAATCATCAATTAAAGTGCTTGCTCAATTTTTTTAAAAATAAAGTTTACTATAAACTTTCAAAATATACAACATGACGTTATAAGATACAAAATTTACATATAGTAACTGTTTATAGGAATGTAACATATTAACATATTCGTCATCTAACATAGTTACCCATTTTCTCCCTGTGGTAAGAGGAATTATAATCTACTCATACAGCAAAAATCATAAGTATGATGCACTCTTATTATTTATTATCCTCCTCTGATGAAGACCACTACAAAGCAGCCCTAAACCAGATTTAAATTAATCAATTGGCTATTCATGTTTACCTGTAAGTCTGTCCAAGCTAAGCTCCTTGTCTGTAGATGGGTGGTGGCCTCATAGTAAGTGAACCTCTGTGAGTCACTAATCCCTGCTAAGGTCAGGAATGGTGGATGAAGCTGGAAAGCCTCAAAGGATAGGACAAGATCACAGTCAAGGACACCTGGATCCAATCTCAACTAGATTAAGACTATAGCCTCAGGCATCACACTCCTGTGTGGATTGATTTAATACCTTAGTTGGAGAAGTCCTTGAGTGGTTCTGCCCCACCAGAGTAGTCCCCTCCCTTCTTCTGATAATTAAATAAATACAAGACAATCAGAGAAGATCTTGATCTTAGCCCTGAGAGAATCTCAAATTCTGTGAGAGGGCTTTGATCCTCCTGGAGCCCTGAAATCATTTCATTTATCTCTTTTTATTTAGCCTTTTCCATACACTCATTCAAGAGATTGCAGATCTGATCAACCTGCAATAACTGAGGCATATAATTAACCCAATACTCCTGTTATACATTAGACTGCCTGAATTTTCTGTCCTACATATTTTGTAGAACAACCTGCTACTTTGTAACTTTTTTATTATTTTGAAGAGATAAGAAAAAACAAAGACAAACACAAAACAACACAAAAGTATTAAAATGATACAGAATTTCAAAACAAGATGATAGGAAATTGTAGAGGATTGACAACTGGTTGTCAGTTTATAACCCCCAGTTGAACTGCGTAATCATGGTGCTGGGTGTGGGAGGCCCACCTGAGGATTGTTGCCAGTGGCATAAGAGGAAGAACTGGAGAAAGAGCAGAGAGAGGCAGTTGGGAGCAGATAAATGCTGTTGGGAGCTGGTAGAATCTGTAAGGAGCTATTGGTTCCATTGGAGGAGCTCATCATACTGGCTTTCCTGATGAGCTTGGCTGTTTTCATCCTCTGAGGAGCTCAGGACCTTGTTGCTGATAGTGGCTTTGGTTCACTTTGGGGGAGCTCTGGTCCTCACCTTGAGCATTTCTTTCTGGCTCTGGAGGGGTAGATGGTGCACTGCTAGTCTCCTGCAGAAGCTTGCTGCATTGGCTTCCCTGATGGGAACTCAGCCCTCTTGGTCATTGGAGGAGGTCAGGACCTCACTGTTGCTGAGGATGACTGTGGTACCCTCTGGGAGAACTCCGGTTCTTCTGAGCATCACTTCCTGGCTCCAGTGTAGAACCCTCAGCCTGCTAGCACAGCTCCTTCATCCTGCTGACACAGACTTTCTAGATTCCACCACTGACCTTTGAGCCTTTCCAGCTCAGATCCATGAAACAGGCCTGCATGAGATATTGTTATGAGCTCTGGGCCTCCAATTGGATTTATGGGAGGCATTGTTATGAGCTCTAGGCCTTCGGGTGGACTCATGCAGGATATTTCCGTGGGATCCAGGCACTCACTCAGCCTGCTAGCACAGATCCTTCATCCTGATGGCACAGACTTCCTAGATTCCACCACTGACCTTTGGGACTTCCCAGTGCAGTTCCATGAAAGAGGCCTGCATGGGCTCTAGGCCTCCAGTTGGATGCGTGGGAGGCATTGTTATGAGCTCTAGGTATTCAGGTGGACTCACACAGGACATTTCCATGGGATCCAGGCCCTTGGCTAGTTTCCTTGGTCTTAGTGTGGACAGATTTCCTGCACTCTTGTATATCATTCTTCGGGTGACTATTATAAATAATCTGATAAAATAGGTGACCTGTATTATATTGTTCCCCTTGCAAAATAACCCCCAAACCAACACAGGATCTCACTGGAACCACAGATAAGCACTGCTGAAAGCTCCCTGCTTTGAAATGTTTATTCTAAAACCACAGGAAACACTGACATAAAGCATTAAAAGACACGTAGAATACTACAGAGACTTGAGCAGAACCCTGGGGGTGTTAGGCATTTATCTTTGCATGTGTGCTGTTCATGCCAATTATATTCTTCAGTAATTCTTCAGAAATATAATTGAAAACAGGGGAAGAGACCGAGGTTGTTTAAAACTTTGTGAGCTGTCCAGCAGTTATCCCTGAGATTATGTTACATTTCATGGTAAAAGGAATTTTGAAGTTGTTATTAATACTTAAGATTAGTTGATTTTCACATACTGAAGTTGTCCTAGATAATCTGATAAACAGTATAATTATCTGGGTCCTTAATGAAGAAAAACCATTAAATCAGTAGAAGACAAATCGTGATGTGTGAAGTGAGAGAATTCTTTCAACACTGACATGTTATGTTCCAAGGGTGATGAAAAACATGTAGTGAATCTTCAAATAAATAAAAATTGATAACATTGTAATAGATATTGCCAAAACTATGGGAATAAGTGCTTTCAAAGCAAGGGGAATAGGTTTAGTAGGACATAAGGCAATATGTGTTTTAGTGTAATAACTGCTTTATGGAAATGTTAGCCAAACTGATAACACTTCCTTTGAGTCCAGAAGGTGAACTGTAAGGATGAAAGGGACGTTTGTCATTTGTTTAATTATAAATGATTCATGAAGATTTACACATTTGTAGAGTACCACATGAAGTCTAATACAATTTGTACACTTGGTTATGTTCATATCAGGGAAACACAGCTATCTCCTCAAGCAATGCTCATTTCTTCATGGGAAAGATTCTCAAAATGTCTACTTACATTGTTTGAAGAATATACACTACATTATTATCAGCCCTTACCCTACTGTATAGTAAAATATCAAGAGATATTTCTCCTCATCTTTCTCTGTCACATCTACTCTGCTGAGATGTCTTTCTATGACACAAGTCTATTTAGATTCCCACATAAGCTAGATCGGGCAGTACATGTTGATTTATGCAGCTTTTCTTTTACTTAACATTCAGACTTCTGTTTCTATCCATGTTGTCACCAATGATGGGCTATTACCATCATGGACCTTTATGCATTCATTAGTTGGTAGACAATTTAGTTTGTTAATATTTCTGGGTTATTCAGTATAGTTATGTGAGAAACATGGGAATGTAAGGGTCCACTGACATACAGTTTATATATCTTCATGCATTAAATGATGCTTCTCTTTTTAGTTTCTGAGAAGTATCCATGCTTGGCTGTAATAAAGGCAGGACTAACTTACATTCACAACAGTTCTGTGTAAAGTATCGATCTTCCCCACAATCTCAGTGTCATTTGCTAAATTTTATGTTTTTAATAATCACCATATCAGGTACTTCTCAGAATAGAGTGGTAAACATCAGCAAATCATCCTCTCCAAGATTCAGAATCCAGACAATGCAAAGTAACAATCTGGAGAAGAAAAGAATGAGGGAGGTGGATCCCCAGGATCCAGGAAGAATCAGAAGGAAAAATTGGAGCCCACATAAAGCGGAGGGACAGACCACAATGCAAAAAAAGGAAGGGACCACCTGCATCTTCTCCCTGGCTCCAGGCTCACAGTGTGAGACAGGAGGATCAAATATACAGAACCACAGTGAGGGTACAAAATTCCAGAGGCCTCCAGAGAAAAGCATACCAGTGGAGCAGAATAGTGTATGCTATGTGCTACATTATTCCCGTGATGATCTCCTGAGTTCAGACTCTTTGGCAACTTCTTTTTTGAGTATGGACAACATTCTTAATCTTGATCTGCAGATTTGGGCCACAGGCACCCTAATAAACATGTGTGCTCTTTCTGCCCTTCCTAGAACACCCAGCATCTGGATACCATCACTTGTCTAACAAATGCATTCTGGGGTCGAGGCAGTTAGACATGGAGGCCATGGCATCTGGGGCATGGTCAATGAGGAAAGGCGCAGTGAAAGCTGGCTTTGGTATTGAGGCATGAACAAGAGATATTAAACACAAGGAGTTACCCTAAGTATAAGATGAAGTATTTATGGTACAGCAGAACATGACACATTTACTGAAGCACATACATGATCCATGAACCCCCTGAATGTTTTAAACATTTTTCCTACACTCTCAGAAATTCTTGTGATGTGTCTGGGGAGTTCTCAGGAATTCTGAGAAGATGGATATTATCACTGCATCAGCTATACATAGAGTAGGAAACTATGTACTTGCTTGTTTCTCTTTTGTATAGCAGAATCTTCAAAGAGCAAGTTCATTCCTCAGGATCTCCAAAATTCTTTACACTTTTGGTATTGTTAGTTCTTGGAGGTAGTCTAATTTCTATATAAACAGGAAAAGTCCTTTTCTTTTTCCTAAACATTGACACTATCTCTATCACCTAAGATTCTTTATTAATGTAAAAATCATGAAAAGAAAGCAATTAGAAAAGCTAGAGCATGTAACTGTGCATAAGACATAGGACACCGGTAAAGAACTGTCCTTGAAAAGTGTCTTTTATGTAATTCTTCACTCTATTCACTTTTGCAAGAAGTTTCCATAAACACAATGGTTATGAAAATATTTTGATTAAAACACAAAATAAATTAAGTCTATTTAAATAGCCTCAACCAGCACTTCATTCAGATGGATGTGGACAGAAGAGTGTGCACCACAGCGGGGCCAACCTGCTTTACTAACATTGCTTACTCCCATGGAGTCCTGCCTTCACTGAGCTGGAAAACCATTGGTTGAACTTTGAAGGATAAATGGCCTCTCCTTGTTCTTCTGTACCACTTATAAAAAGAAGTGAAGAGTAAACAACAGAAAGTACTGCCACAATATACAAGTCGTACATTTCTGAAAGAGTTGGAGAGGTTTTGTGTTCTTTGTGCAGGCGAAGCAGTGCCTAAACATAGAGGAGCATTGGCTTATGCTCAGAAAGGGGCTGATAGTTGGAAAACACAAAGAAATTAGATCAGAAGCACTCACCAACCCCGAACTGGGATTGTAAGATAAAGCAATAGAAATTCGAATAATGGTGGAGAGAGTGTAAAAAGATATGAAGGTGCTCACCAGGAAAAGGATGCTTTGTGTGGCTCTGGATTCAGGGGATCTTAAGGAAACATTAGTGATATGAATGTGTTGAACCCTTTGCTTGTGTCTGTACAGGATGGAAATCATAGAACCACTGGCCCACACTATAAGCAGAGAAAAACAAACTTCAGGTACAACTACTAATGCTATATAGACTGAGCCAATGACTACCCCATAATCAACAAGACAACAGTATCCTATATTTACTTTCTTTTTGATGATTCTGTCATAACCTTTCACAGATGAATACCATGCATACATAGGAATAATTAAACTGACCAACACATTTAAGATCCAGCAAAGGTGAATGGAGAAGCCAATATATTCTTGAGTTTTACGTTTAATATCCTTCCAACAAGAATTCATGGGGCTGATGATGATGTTTTGGAAGACACTCAAGAGGCAGATAGTACCAATTGAAACACCCCTGCCCACTCTTTCAATATACAAGAGACATTTACAAACAATATCACTGAATATATGTTTCAACCCAAATGCTGCCATTATTTGAGGAACTCCTCCAGAGAGAAGAACTAAGGAGTTGGCCAGACAAAGGTGCTTCAGAATCACATCTGTGGATCTTAACCTCCTTCCATGCTGGAAATTGAAAAAATAATGACAAAGAAGGAAGAAATTGGCTGTGACACCAATGATAGTCTGTGAGGAGAAGATTATTCCTACTGCCAAATCTTTGGAAGTTATTTTGTCATTTCCTTTGAAAATGTCATGTAAATTGCTATAACAGTCGTTCCTCTGAGTGTCGAGGCTCATTGTAATGAACAACAACAAAATACTGTTGGAGGTGTCTTCCTGTGGAATTCCGATGGTCTCAAAAGCTAGCAGAATTGAAGAGAATTTTCAGCACATTTCCTGGGAAAGTCATCACAAAGGATAAGGCGGTGTTAAACTGAGAGAGAAAGGACAAGTGACAGAACATGGAAAGCCAAATCCAACATTTTCAGGAAAGTTTGTCAAGGTACAGTGTAAAAAGAAAGTGCAGTTTTCATACACATCATATAACAGATGAATTTTGCACGGATTTCAAGTATAAATGTGTTAGATAAATATCAAATATTTTATGGAAAATTATTTATTGACTCTATGAAGAACACGATATTTCATAGAAACACATAACTCAATGGGTGAACTTGGACATTATATTAAAATTTAGAGCTACTTTCAAACTCAGATGCGATTGCATACAAAGAGACAGACAGCAGGGGACAGAGAATGAGGGAGATAAAAACAGAGATTAAACAGAGAGACATGGAGATAAATACATGTACTGATCATTAAGGATGCTTGTAGGTTATACACGAGAATAAAATGGGATAGTACTTGAGCTTAAACTTCAAAAGCCGCATTACATAGTGGGAGATACACACACACACAGAATATGTCCAATGACATAAATAATCTCAAAAATTCAAATAAATGTACTACCAAGGAGCATAATGCATCACACAGAAAGCTAAAATAAATTTAGCAAGAAACATCAAGGTATGCAAGAACATGGTTAAACCAAGAACATGTATATTTGTGGAGGTTTTGCAATTGATTTAAGTATTTTAGAAAACTATTGGTTAGTGTCTCTATAAACTTGTAAGATAAAATTCTATTTTGTAGTAATGAAATTTACTCAAAAGAAATTCAAACATGGATCAGCCAAACATGTACCTCTATATGCTAATATTTTTTATTACTAACAAGAGCCCTAAATTCAAACCAAGTCCATGACCCTTAGCCTTACAAATATTAGTTGACTGATTATTTGATATTTAAGCAAGGGAATCATATAAAGCAATGGCAATGAATCCTACCAGTAATATTCAATAATAAAGAGGTGGTCCAACACTCTCATATAATGCAGGCAAGTGAAAAACTTGAAGGAATTCACTCAATTTATTGGTATAAAGTGTCAAACAGGCACTAGTGATCTAATATGTAAAATATTACAATGCTGTAGATATAACACTATTTAGTAGTTGACTTCAACATGTGTGCCCAATTGGACTGTAACCTTATGCAAGTGACCTAGACAAGATAGAAGAGAGATTTAGGCTAATGACAATATTGTTTCTTGATCATCTTTATGTAGAATCTTGAGTTCCCTTTCTGAAATTACACTGAGCTGTGCCCATGTAAATTCTGATACGTCTCATCCTTTCCACATAAAATGGTACTATGTAAATTGTGAAAATGTACCTGTGGGAACTGCTGACACTAGAGTGTGTGTGACTTCCCATTTTTTTCTGTACAGGATGAAACTCACTGTCACACATGATGAACTCCAACAATAAACATCCCAGAATAACAGCTGTGTTGTGCCTATTGACTCTGATTTTTGTCATTGAGTCCAGAAGCATACTGTTGAAAATTTCATGGCTTTGTTATGGTTTTGCTTCTCTTTCACAAGCACATACATAGGAAAATCAAGCTTATAAATAATGGAGTTCAATAGATTAAAATGCCCAACCCACTGTAATTGGGAGAACTACGTACGTGAATTCCTGGGGCTTGTGATGATGACACACATACCTGTAGGCACAGGTGATTCCAGATACAAAAGTTGTAATCCAAAGTCCTTGAAGAAATCCTTCAGTCTACATCTCCCAGTCTTGGTGCAGACTACACTGATGTGTCTTGGAGACACTTTAATAAAATAGAGTGATTACGTATTGACTATTTCCGATGTCTGAGAATTAATTCTCTGGAGTTTTTGACACTTATGTGTGAAAAAGCCAAGCAAAATGGTGGAAAGGATAGAAATGTCTCATGCTTCCATCCACATTCTGAGACATGTACTCCATCCTGATTGCAGGTTCTTGGAGGCCATTCTGCTGATTCTCAGTGACTGATGTTCATATTTACACCTGAGGATCCCATAGAAACTTGAGTTATCATCAACATTTATCATATCCACAGAAATCCACTGTGCTCCAAGACAAATGTTAACTTCAATATTTTTGTCAGGACATATCCTAAAGTTGAATATATCAACTTTAAGTAGCACTTTACTATGACTCACTGCCAAAATTCTCTACATGTAATATTTTCTTTAATTTTCGTAATGCACCTAGGCAAAAATTCTATAAACAATGTAATTTTATTTACAAAGGTTAAAATTGTGTCAAAGTTTGCACCCTATTTAAGGGAAGAGTGAGGATTTGAATGTGAGGATGCTGGTTGGAGAGCTCTACTTACATTTTATTTATGAAACAAACATCATCTTTAGGAAACAAGATTTATTCCATACAAGAGTGATGCAAAAATGTGTGGTAATAGAAAGATCCATTCGCTAGCATTGCATAATGAAAATTCTTATGATTTCTAGTACTCTAGGAAACTAACTGAAAAATTATTCTGTGATAAGGCTACTATAAATGAAATATTAATACGCATTTAAATAGTTGTAGATACAATCTCAATTATTACCAGTTACTGATCATTCACTCATTAATTTTTTCCTTTCTGAGTTCAGGAGAGCTATAATCAAGAAAAGATGACTGGTGAGTTATACTAAAACACAAGGAACATAAATATGATGGGTATGGAGAAACTAACATCTTGAGAATTATAGATATCGAAATCACAAGATAATGAACTTCTATAACTCAATTTAGAAAAGTGATCAAACAATGTGAAACTGTTATTTCAATGAACATATGAGCCGTAAAGCTTGGAAGACACTTCTCAAAAAGGAAAATAAAAATGGCCCACACATATACAAAATCATACTCAAAATCAGTAATATTGTGCTATGAGAATCACATGTCTCACAGCCAGGTATGAGAAATAACAACAACAAAAAAGGCATAGCCATAATTTGGAGAAATTGGAACACTTCACTGTCAGTAGGAATGACAGTGTAGGCTTGGTAGAAAACAGTATGAAAATTCACAAAGAAAAGAGTCAGGCCCTCTTTCCAGTAATTACATTTCTAGCTATTTGTAAAAAAAAAAAAGTAATTGAAATCAGAATCTCTGAGTTATTAGAACACTCATATTAATTACAGCAATAGACAAAATGACCAAGATGAAGAAGCATCCTACCTTTCTCAGAAGGGTAAATAGCTAAAGAAAACTTATGTGTACATTTCAAGAAATGTTATTCAGCCTGTGAAAAAACAGGAAAAAATAAAAGTAAGGCAAATTCTGCAATGGTTGACAATATGGATGCAGTTTAAGATTATTATGTTGTGTGAAACCAAGTAAAGTTGAAAAACTAGTAAATGGTCTTAATTTTATATAACATCTAAAGAATTCCATCTAAAGAATTCATAGAGACTAAGAATGAGCTCAAAAAGGAAAGATGAACTGGGATTGGGGAAAGGAGAAAAGAAAGTAGAAATATATATATATTCATTCACACACACATAAACACACGTGAGCTAGCTAAGGAAATTGTACTGTTAATTTCTATCAGTTCATTGAAAGGGACAGTTAATGCTTATATTGCTTGACCAATCTTACATGCCTATATCTGGTAATCTGAGCAACTACTTTGAAGGTAACAATATGCAATATAATAACCATTGTTAATTTCCTATCATCTTGTTATGAAATTCTGTATCATTTTCATTGCTTTTTAATCATTCTCTTTAAAATAAAAAGAGGAATTCAAGGGCAAAAGAAAAGAAATAATTTGCCCAGAGTCACTAGCTGGTTTGTGGGTAGAGCTGGGATTTGAAACCAGTCTATGTGCCAAAAAAAAAAGCATCATTCTGCCATGACTGCGCTGCCTGTGGATTAGGAACCAGAAGACCACTAGGGCAACTGTGAAGTTTGCATCAGCTTCAGAAGATGACCTAGGCTCCTACTCTGCTCCTGTCACTTACTTACCAAAAGGTATTTTGGTATCTGGTAACCTCTCTGAGGCTCACCTATAAAGAAGATAGAAATAACTAATTCATAAAGTATGGACATCTGTAAATTCCTGAGTATATTAGTAGATGCAGCTTTGATAAGTTAATCAGGGAAAGCACACCCACCATAATTATCCAGACATAAATATCTTCAATAGATGAAAATTACCCTTTCTGCTAAGTGCAACATATGCAACAGAGATAGTCTTTAAAAAATAATTTTATTCCAGAAATTATTTCAAATACGTGGATTAAACACACAGGTAGATAATACTTAAAACTTTATTTTACTCTTTCTCAAAAGCATGAAGACATGATAAATTGTAATAATCTTTTTAATTGCCCTTTCATTCATGGGCACTTTCCTTCATGTGAAAACAACAGCTACCTTAAAACCCTGCCATCCTTAAGCACATGAAGCCTTATTTTATTACAGTTGTGATTATTCACTGACAAACACCCTCAGCAAAATTTCACTACTTACCATTAGAAACTATCAGGAATTGGCATAGAGGTGGGACTTCCATGTGTCTTTAGTGGTTCAACTTGTAGCTAAGAAACATTTCCCTTTATTGCCCATATCCTCAGGCATATGTTTCTACCTCAGAATACCTCTCCAGACATAAGCTCTTATTCCAAATTTCTGTCCTTACTGGCTCAGGCTCTCAGACAGAAATACAAATTACTCACCGCAAGTGTTCCCCCTATAGAATGGTAGGCTCAGGGTGAAGATCATGACAATCAGTATTTCAGGCAAGGGAGGCTTCTGGACCCTGATATAAGGCTCTGGAAATCTGTGACCTTGCTCTCCTCAGAATTATAATTATCATTTTACCTATGTTGGTAATAACATTAGAGGCCTGGGGAACCAAGGAACTTTTTGAACAACTTTCTTTCACAGTTCCTA